AGAATTGTTAGAAGAATGATGAAGACAGGTGAAGAAACAGGCGGGTATGCAAGGGGTTAAGGGAATACAAGTTGTTATTGTTAAGTGCCATGGAGTTGGGTTCAACTCACAACCATCCTGTAAAGGGTTTCTGAGACTTTTAAATCATGCAGGAACAGAAAGCCTTATCTTTCTCCCAAGGAGCCACTGGTGGGCTTGACCCACTGACTTTGTGGTTTGCCATCCAGTGCTTATCCTACGGAACCACCATGCTCCCCAGTGCAGAAAGAGGTAAAAAGTGATATATACAAAAACTTGAAACAACAGTGTTCTGTGGGTAGATACATGGGCAAAGACACAGGCTGAATGGGCATGGGAGGAAGAGTAGGAGTACACCCACAAATATATAAGAGCTTGACAGAGGATATTCGTGCATGGGTATTTGCCTTTCCTGTTCCAAACACAACTATGAATGTGGTGGAACACACAGCATGCAAAATGATGAAGACTTCTTAGTTATTATCAAACATCATAAGGCAATGAATTGCTGGGCCTCAGGGCTCAGGACCATAATTTCAGGGGACATCATGGTCAACAACATAGTCCCCAAAGGCAATATTCTATTTTGATGAATAGCGACTGGGACCTTAAAAACTCAGGAGGGCCATCTAAGGTGAAACTATTGATCTCTCCATGTGTAGTGGAAAGGAGAGTGATGAAAACTGAAGACACTTGGAATCAATTAGTCCAAAGGACTAATGGAACATGTGATCATCACCTCCACAACCCTGAGACCAGAAGAGCTAGATGGTACCAGGCAATGACTACCAACTGCTCTGAAAGGGCTCACAGAAGTTTCCAGATAAGAGTGGGAGAAAATGTGGAACAAAACTCAAAATTATTAAAAAAAAAAAAAAAAGAGCCAACTTACTGGTCAGAAGCAGACTGAGGGAAGCTGAGACTATGGCCCTTGACCAGCCATCAGGTCTGGAAAAGAACTCACCTTCGTCACCCAGTTTTCAGTCAAGCAACAGATAGGTATATAGGAGCCACAACACACTAGTAACGTACACTCACCATAGAATGATCAATCATTCAAAATCAAAAGGGCAACATTTACCTAAGGACAAAGTTGAGAAGGGATGGGAACCACAGGGAGGAAACGGGATAGCTGTTGCTTTAGGGAGGGGATGGAATCATTGAGATGAAACAAAGTGTATGATGTGTTGAATGTAAAATTGATGATCTTGTCTACAAACATCCACTCAATTCACAATAGTTTAAAAAAAAAAAATGTGGCAAAATCTCATTATCTTCTACTCTCATTTTCCCACAAACTTTTTGAAGTCCCCTCACACATTAAGATTCTGAAATCTCCAAGTTCTTGTATATTTTTTTTTCAACAGTATAAACTTCTTTGTAAGCTAAAAACAGTATAGGAAAGCACTACAGAAAAGAAATTTAAATTGAGAGTAAGGTTCAAGCTTTTCTAAATATGACCGAATAACCCCCTTATAGAGGCGTATCTGCAAGTAATGAAACGGAAACAACTACTAAGAAATGATTTTCCTCAGATATTTTTATCTACCATGGACTCTTAAAGGAAATGGAAATTTAAAAAATATTCATTCTGCTTAGATTGAATCACTAAACAGGAATTCGATTTATATCAGCTGTCATAATTTTTTCAAATTAAAAATAGACAAATGTATCCATATCAGTTATATAACAGAATAAGAGCTATAAAACACTTTTTATGAAATTGAAATCAGAAGCAAGGCTGTAAATAACCTGAAATGGTATCAGAATATTTGAATAAACTTATTTTAAATAGAAACATCACCATGTTACACACATATCTGTTAAATGCAACGGACCAATCCATCATTCTCATTCTGAGCTTTTTTTCTATTTTTCTGAGTCTAATTTAGTTATTTGCTAAACAAGTATTTATTTACAAAGTGACCACTATTTACCAGGCACAATTCTGGGTACTGAGAAAATAGTGGTGAGCAAAGAGACAAGATCTCTGTCCCAAATAATTTCAAGCAGTTAAAAAGAGCTGTGAGAAATAAAACAGAGGAATAGTGACACTGGCCATTTACAGATATAAGAATTATACCTACTGAAACATCTTAACTCTGTAACGAGTAAAACACTGTTCAAGTTAAGTGCTTACATGGTATTTTGATAACACTCTAACTAGGTTCAATATTGTAGGTATTTTACTTATCACAAAAATGGATCAAAACCATGTAACATTTACTTTTTGAAAGTCTGTAAAATTCTCTACCAATATTTAAAAAAAAACTTTAACTTTATATAAATAAAATGTCACCCTTATACCTTCACTTTTCCTTAACACATCCATCATACAAGTATTATGATTAGAAGCATTCATTGCTGAAGATGACAATAAATTGGCATTAGAACCAGGTGGTGCTCTAGGATCTGGGTTGTTCTTCATGGAAGTCCCTTTAAGAGCTGTATGTTCCATTTTTGCACTGTTTACTGTATCATGGATCTGTGAAAAAGAGAGCAGGTTACTGCAACTATCCATGCTCTATACATAATGAGCAAGCAATAAGACTTAATACTTAACATACATTTGAAATAAAAGCTGACTAAAATATAAAACATTTTAAAATTATATCCTTAAATTCTATACAATTATTCCTTAAGTTTTATAATAGGTTAAGAAAAAGTTTTACAATAATTTATACAAATGATTTCTTTTTATTTAATCAGTATGCTAAAAGACCAGTTTTAAAAGGTAAAAAAAATCTATTCTCTTTATTAAGGAGCTCTGGTAGCGTAGTGGTTACGAATCGGGCTGCGAACCTTAAGGTCAGTGGTTCGAAACTACCAGCTGCTCCGCGGGAGAAAGATGAGGCTTTCTACTCCCATAAAGATTTACACCCTCGGAAACCCTGTACAGGGTCGCTATGGGTCGGAACCGACTCGATGGCACTTAACAACTTAACAACAACAAAGTATTATAAGTAAATACTTCTTATATAACACAGGAGACAGCACCAACACTAACTGCGGTTAGTTTTCTGGTCAATTGTCTTAAAAAAAGGTTAGATATATATACTAAAGATCAAATGACACCTAAAAATGAAACTTTGGTTCTATGGAACCTTCAAGCAAATGAATCATTCTTTGTAACAGAGTTTTCCATATGGTGGTGACTGTGAGCCGTGGAGTCTGATTCATAGCTACCCGGTATAGGGTTTCTGAGGAGCATGTGGTGAGCTGGAACCACCAACCTTGTGGTTCATAGTTCAGTGCTGATCCTACAGTGTCACACCAGGAGTCTGGGCTCCTTATGATATGTTGTCACTGTTGTTATTAAGTGCCGTCGAGTCAGTTCCTACTCATAGCGACCCTGTATAGGGTTTCTGAGGAGCAGCTGGTAAGATTGAACCACTGATCTTCTGGCTCAAACTGACCTTGTAGTCTAGTGCATTATCTCACAGTGTCACACCAGGACTCCTTATAGATATGTTGTTGTTGTTGTTAAGTACCGTGGAGTCGGTTCCAACTCATAGTGACCCTACAGGGGGCTTCCAAGGCTGTAAATCTTTATGGGAGCAGAAAGCCACATCTTTCTCCAGTGGAACCTCTGGTAGTTTCGAACTGGTAACCTTCAGGTTGGCAGCCCAACTTGTAACCACTATGCTACCAGAGCTCCTTCCTTATATATATAGATATATTTAATACACACACACAGGGGGGTTTCAAGAAGTTTGTGGGGGGAAAAATCATTATCTTTTAATTCCATTTTTCATGAACTTTTAGAAGGTTTCTTGTGCATATCAATATTTTTTACCATTAAACGCTTTGAAGAATAATTTTCCTAATTTTATCCCTGTTTTCTTGAACGCATTAAACGTTTTATAATTCAAGTCAATGTGAGCATCTGTCTTATGTAGCAATACCTACAGGCTGGTCTTGGAACCAGAAGGTCAGCAGTTCAAACCCACCAACTGTTGCTTGGAAACACTGTGCAGGGTTGCTATGAGTCAGAAGTTCATAGCAACTTCACAACACTTCACAACAACAATAGGTAAACTAGGGAGCGCTCATGGTCCATACAATAAATAAGGGTCTGCGAACCACAAGGTCCACAGTTCAAGCCCAGCAGTCGCTCTGCAGGAGAAAAATGAGGCTTTCTGCTCCCAAAAACATTTACAGCCTCTTAGAAACCCTATACAGGCTCACTATGAATCTGAGCCAACTTAACAACAACAGGGAAACTGAACCATGAAAGTGATCTGGCTTCATTCAAATTCTCCAGTACTGCTGCTCTTTTTAGTTACCTGCTTTTTATTACTTTTTTCTCCACCTTTATTATTAACTATATTTTCCCAAGACGCTAAGATACTGGTCCCATAGTATGCTCCATCCTTCCCTTCTAAGTGGTGGTGACAGTGCTACTGTTAATGACTGATGCTGACAATGACAGCCACAACTATTTATGGGCATTATGCGCCAGCATTGTGCTA